GGGGGGGGTTCCCATCTCCAGCGCTCCCCCCCCTTACTGGGTAAAACTACCCGGATAAAGTAAAGGTTAAAAACCGGATCGAGAAAGTTAACCGAAAGGTCAACAGGTCAGAATGACCACGAAACTGATCCTTAGGTAAAGTTGCCGGTCAAAAAAAGGACCATCAAGCTACGTCCATAATCAAACCCCCCTCCCCCGCCAGACCAGGCTCATAACTAACTCCCTTCCCCCTCGATCTATACGATCCCGAGCGAGGAAACCTCGGGGTAAAATTTCGGTCAAAAAAAAACTCAAACCGAAATTTTAGCTTGATTTTTTTCTCCCATGGATGGTGTGGATTCATGTGAACAATTCTGTTACATTCAGAGAACAAAAAGACCGATTTCTGGCTGTACGTCGATGCTAAAGAAAAATTTTGGCACCGGTAAAGAAAGATCCCAACAAGATGTACGTACACACACACATACATAAATATACGTCCGTACACACACACGTACATACACACACACACACACACACATATACACAAACACATACGCATACACACACAGACAGATTAAATCAGTGATGCAGCTGAGCAAAACGAACGGCTATGGCGTGTCATCAAAAAAGTGGGAGGAGAAAATGAATCAATTGAGTCAAAAAAAAGCCAAAAACTGAGCCGAAATTAATTGATTAAGCGAAAAGCCGTATAATTTAAGTCAAAAAAAAGATGAAATACGGCCGTAAGTGTTAAAAATTTGTCAAAAAGCAAGTAAGGAAGCCGAAGAGCAAAAAAAAAAACTGCAAAAATAGCATGTTCAAGGCGAAAAAATAAAAGTATGCGTGGGGGGAAAGTGCGAAAAAATTTTTTTGAGGGGCGCTCCTTCAGTGGTCAGAAGCTGGTGAAGTGTAACGGACTTGACGCTGTTTCAAAAGAGCCTTGGCACATAGCAGCGACCGACGTGTGGTCGCACCTCAAAGTCCTGGAACTGACCGCAGCTTTTGCTCGGAAAATCCCGGAAAAAAGGGAAGGCACATGCATCTGCTTCAAAATAATCCCAGAGAAACCCCGGGAAATGGCTCGCCTCGATCCAGAAATCTTCAATAATTCGAGCGGAAAATCACCAGGATATCAAGCTAAAGCTTTGAAGCATTGCACAAAATGAGAATTAACACATCAATTCAATTCGGGAGACAAAAAAAAACCCAATCACTGCCCTGCGCGATTTTTTTTTCCCGGGGGAAAAAACCTCATGCATCTTTCGAGAATACCCAGAAACGACCGATCTCTCCCGGAACACCCGAGAATTTTTTAAAAGGAATTAGAGATGGAGCAACGTCCCGTGGTCCCCAAAATCACTCCCAACGTAACAAAGCCTATCGCCAAAAAGAGGGGATACCGCCACCACCCAATAAAAGCCGTGGTATCATCGCCAAAGATGTCCATGCCAGAGGTGTCTCGATGCATCACTTGGTTTGCAATTGATTTGCAAACCGTCAGCGAGCAGTGGGGGAAGGGGGTCAGGAGCGAGTGCTCGTTACGTTGGAGAACTTTCGATAAGATTCCGCGGTCCAATTCCGGGTGTCGCCGGAGGGGCGGCGACTTCTAATTTCTAAGAAGGGAGAGGGTCTTTTACCCGGAAAGTTACGCATTTTTTTCTTGACAAATTCTCATTTATTGATTTCTCGTTAGAAAAAAAAAAAAAAAATTAGAATTTTGTCAATTTTTCCGAGGGGAAAAACCCCCAGATTTATTCGCGGTTTTACTGGAATTATGTAAAAAAGGGTGCTCTCCTGGCTGGAGATTCGATGAGCAAGTCACCCACTCTCAGCATCAGGAGGTCGTGACGAAAAATAACGGGACCGTTAATGTCTTGGAGGCCGGCTATCGGAATAGATGCAATTTAAACCCATTAACGAGGATCTATGAGAGAGAAAGTCCCATGCCAGCAGCCGCGGTAATTCCAGCTCTCAAATCGCGTTGCCTGAATAAGTACCACCACCAGAACCGTTTCCGGGGAAGAGAGGAGTGATGAATGCTCACGTTACGCCCTCGATAGTTCTTTCGAAATAACCTTTTCACGCACTAGTACAGCACAGTAGTGAAGCCCAATCAATGCTCGCTGATCGTTGATCTCTTCGTGCCCGTCCAAAAAAAAGCCCCCAGATAATTTGGGAAATCTTCTAAAATTCGGGAACACACCGGGAAATCCGTGAATCGGACGGAGAAGCCGAGATGGAGACGGACGAATCGCTGAGGCGCTCCGAAAGCAATGCTTCGGCCGCGAAGGACTCCGATCGGTGGACACGCTGACGTCAGCCCGCCGTTCCAGGACCTCTCATGGTGCTGTGAGCGCGGTGCTGCCAGCTGCTACTGAGGTAACCCCTCCTGGACGTCTTCCTCAGTGACGTACAACTTTCGTCACTTCCTCTCTGGACACCTTGACCACTGTGATAGTTTTCCAGTTGTTTCGACAAGTACTGCTTCATCAGGTAGTCAGCCTGCTGATCAGCTTACTAGGCTGTAGGCAGTTTTCCCGCCAAAACTTTAAAGTGCCCGTACGTGAAAATCACTCACAACTGGGAGCTGAATTTAAAATATTTGTGTTGTACTTGGATAGGGAACATTCCCCTAAAATTTCGGCTTACTACTGGTCAGCTTGAATACTGATCAACTTGCCCCAGTTCCGAACTGAAACGTGAGAATCCATCCTTTGAGCTCCTGGAGAGATTTATTATGCGAGGAGAAACACAATACAGATAGATCACAAGCTAAATTTAAAACTAAGGAGAGAAGAAAAAGCACGGTGGATAATAAATAGCCTTTAGCAAGTTGCGAGGTCTATTTTTGTAGGGCCTTAACGCCTAGATCAACACTGCAACCGTCGTAGTGACGAAGTCCAGGTGTGGTGCTCAACAGGAATGAAGATGAAGTTGCTAGCTGCGCAGAGACGGAAAATAACACAAAGTATTTGAGCGAGAAATGAAGTCTTGTGCCGTAGAAAACCACTTACTGCTATAGTTTCCCTGTAAAAAGTAACTGTGACTGACTTGTAAGCGATCACCAAGCTCGAAATTCTACAATCATAGACCGTTTCGTAGAGCAACTTTTTGAATCGCCGCCGTTCGCTTGACTGAATTAGGAAGAACAAGCTTACTAATTGCTATGGCTGTTTATATAAGTCTGAAAATTTGCATAAATTGTATAAGTGTGTATGTGTGTGTGTGAGTGTTTGTTTGAATAGACTGAAAGCAAGTTAGCCCTTTACTAACATCGGATATCCGAAAACCAGGAGCACACTTCCTCCTCCTTTCCACCTATCGCCCCCTCCCCCTGCCCTCCGAATGTACGCGAGCTAGCTACCTGACAAAGCATCTGCGCTATGTAGCCTTTAAATTCACTTATCCCTGCCTCTGCGAAACCTGCAGCACGTCCGTCTCCCTTCTCTCCACTTCCAAAATTCAAATTGCCGCCAATCACCGTTGGGCAGCCCTACCCGTCACCGCCGAGAAAAAGTTTTCGCAAATCGTGAAGAGCGCCGGCCGAGCCGAGCTGAGCCGAGTTTTAGTAATTGTTTGTCCCAGTGAGTGCATTTTGTTGATTTCGTGCGTAGCTTCCGGATTTCGCCAAGTTGTGGGGGTTTTCCGAGTTTTCCACTCTATTTTTCCGGTGTTGGGGTGAGCGGAGGGGGGGGGGGTCCGTTTTTCCAGAATTTCGAGGATTTCCGCGCTTTCCGTATTTGTTGGTTTTACTGATCTCTCAAAAAAATTTCTCTTTTCCTGGCTTTCTGTTTTTTGTATTTCATTGGTTTTTTCGGGTTCAGTTCTAAAGGGAAAGGGAATTGTCACTGCAAGGAATGCGATTTCATCCTTTAAAAAATCGATTGTTTAAATAGTTACGACTAAAAATCCTGCAGTGCATATTTTACAATTTCAGGGTAGCTGTGAATGCAGCCAAGTCGTGTTTTATGTGCGGCGGCCCGGCGGACGTATACGGAGCTCGACTATGCGCGACATATCCCGAAAGAATACGTGGAGAAGGTGAAACGGACCGTACCAAAGAAAATCTATGCAAATCGCTATGGTGCGCCAGATATCATCCGTTGGTCGTAAGTTTCTAGTACCGCTCTATTTTACCGCAAAAAGCTGGCTCGAAGGGATGACACATATATAACGAACATTTGTTAACGTTGGAAAAGGCCTCGTTAGTTGAGGGTATTCATTGTGCTCTTTTTTCTCTGCTTAGCTCTAAACCCAACTTATCATTAATCTCTATTATTTATCCTGAGTAATTATATCTGCCGACAGCTGAGCGCTAAATATTAAGTGGTTACTAACTGCATCTGGAATGTTGAATTTCGGTGTTTAGTGAATTTGAATTGCATAACTGTAGAAGCCTATGTAAATACTTGGTGCTTGCATATAAAAACCTTATTATATATTCGTCTCTTTTATCCCGTTTTAGTCGTATTTTTGGAACGCACCTGCATTCGCAGATGCTGCACTTTTGTTATTTTCGCTTTTCAATCCTTTTTTTTATTCCCCTTAAAATCCCTTATTTCCGTTTTCTCTTTTCCCGTTTCCCTTTACCATCTTTACATTTTGGCACATTTTAACCTCTCCAAAAAACTATCACATCCTCTTTTGGGGCGGTTCTTAATTCCCTTTACAAACCATCCATCCCCTTATCCGGGGCTCTTCGACTCGACTTCGTCTAATACACTTCTGGGCCTCACCGACCATTCTCTGCTGCAACATCTCTTGTTCGGCAAGCCCATAGACTAGATTCCAAGCGCTACACTTCGTGCTGTTTATTTGCTGTTTGCACCATCCATCATCAGCAAGTCATAAACTTGATTTTGCTTCTCTACAGTGCGCGTAAGCTCAAAACACCACGCCACACAACGATCCACCATAATAGTTCATCCCCAAGACAAAAAAATTTTTACTCTTAAAAATTACTAACTGCACCGCTCAGTGGCTCAGGAACAAAGGAGAGAAAGAGAGAGAGAAAGCAAAGCGTAGCTGCACCCGACGTGTGGGAGCATCCCAGTAGCGCCCCTGACATGAGATCCCCGAGGGGTGCTTGTCCGGGTGATCTGGGTATTGATGGATCTCCCGGAGGTATGCGTGTTGCTCTATTTTCCCCCTCGCGATATTCCTCACTAAGTTTAAGTCATTTAACAGCATAAGGAGGTGCTACAGTAATTCCTCTCGCTCTTTTTCCTGGAAGATTAATTGGTTTCCGCGTTTTTGGTTTAAATGGTTTTAATTTGAACAACCTACGCAAGTAATACAAAGCGTTTCCAGGACAAACGGAACAATTAAAAACGTAAGTCAATTATTGTTCGTTTTTACGATTTTCAAAAATTTAAAGCAGATTTCAGGCTTCATCCAGACGATTATGTGCCATCCGATAAGCGTCCCTGGGAATTGGATGTGTTTGAGAAAAATTTGCATCGTGAGAAACGCTATCAGAATTACAAATTGGCACACAAATTTTTCGAGTTGAGGTGATCAATTTTTTACTTAATTCATAAAGTAGTTACGTTTTAGCCCGGCAGGTAAAATATCGCATAAAAGGGCTTCTCTGATCAAATATCGCGTATTTGGTTTACTTTGGACAATTGCATTTCATTACTTCATCAAGGCAGCTGACAACATTCCCATATGCTTTGATCCATAGGCGAGTCCAGGACGGCTCCTCCGGGGCGGAGGGGGGACGAGTGGGGCTTCTACTGGCGACGAGCAAGGGGAGTGAAATTGCTAGGGCGGGGAGCAAGGGGGGGGGGG